TCGTGTCACCTGCCCCCTCTGACGTGCACATGGTCGTGTCACCTGCCCCGTCTGACGTGCACATGGTCTTGTCACCTGCCCTGTTTGACATGCACACGGTCAGGTCACCTGCCCTCTCTACGGTAAAGTTGGTCATGTCACCTACACCCTCTGATGTGCAGATTTTCGTGTCACATGCCCTTCTGACGTGCAGATGGTCATGTCACCTGCCGCTCTGACTGGCACATGGTCGTGTCACCTACCCTCTGTGATGTACAGATGGTGGTGCCACCTGCCCTCTCTGACGTGCACAGTCGTTTCACTTGCCCTCTCTGACGTGCACGTGGTAAAGTCAACTGCCTTCTCTGACGCGTACATGGTCGTGTCACCTGCCCCCTTATTCGTGCACATGGTCGTGTCACCTGCCCTTTATGACATGCCCATGGTCGTGTCACTTGCCCTCTCTGCCATAAAGATGGTCGTGTCACCTGCCCCTCTGACGTGCAGGTGGTCGTGTCACCTGCCCCCTCTTATGTGTACATGGTCGTGTAACCTGCCCCCTCTGACATGCACATGGTCTTGACACCTGACCCTCTGACGTGCACATGGTCGTATAACTTGTCCCCACTTACGTGCAGGTGGTCGTGTCTCCTGCGCCGTCAGACGTGCAAATGGTCATGTCACCTGCGCCCTCTGATGAGCAGATGGTCGTGTCACCTGCCCTCTCTCCCGTAAAGATGGTCTTGTCACTTGCCCCCACTGACGTGTAGACAGTCATGTAACCTGCCCCTTCTGACGTGCATATGGTCCTGTCACCTGCCCTCTTTGACGTGCACATGGTCATGTCACCTGACTTCTTTGACGTGCACATGGTGGTGTCAACTCCCATCTATGCCATAAACATGGTCGTGTCACCTGCTCCCTCTGATGTTCTGTTAGTCGTGCAACTGCCTATCTGACATGCACATGGTCATGTCACCTGCCCTCTCTTACGTGCACATGGTCTTGTCTCCTGCCCCCTCTGATGTGCACATGGTCGTGTCACCTGCCCTTTCTGATGTGCCAATGGTCGTGTCGCCTGCCCGCTCTGACGTACACATGGTCGTGTCACCTGCCCCTCTGACCTGCAGATGGTCATGTCACCTGCCCTCTCTGACATGCACATGGTCGTTGCACCTACCCTCTTTGTCATGGAAATGGTCATGTAACCTGCCCCCTCTCACGTGTAGACTGCCGTGTCACCAGCCCCCTCTGACATGCAGAGGGTCGTGCACCTGCCCCTCTGACATGCAGACAGTCGTGTCACCTGCCCCGTCTTACTTGCACATGGTTGGGTCACCTGCCGCCTCTGACGTGAACATGGTCGTGTGCCCCACCTGCGAGGACCCTTACAGGTAAAACTCGAGGGGGACCACTCCCTGAAAGGAAAAACGGGCAAGAAAGAAGAGTCGGAGCCCAAGCAAGTCCACTTGTCAAGGGCCGCTTTATTGAACTGCAAGCTTTCCTTATATACAGTTTGTATTTAGAAGGGGTTAAGGGAGTTGGTCAAAAAGGTTACAGCATTCTTATGGGTATGGGAGGGGGACTGAGCAATTCAGCAATGTGACTGACCGCCAGTTGTTCCAAGAGATTACTGCATGACTCATTTTTTCGAAAACTGTTTGCAAGAGGAAGAAAAAGATAACCTTGCCATAAATTCTTTCTCAAGGTTACATGTGCAAGCAGAATTTCCTGCTTAAGGCAATTGTTTGTAGAGCTATTTTATATTTTTTGGTAATGATTGTTGTTTCTCCAGCTCCTGACATCTGACAGCCTCTTCTGACCTCCGTGGGCATTGCATGACATGGGTGCACTTACCTACATGCAAGCAATACACAAATACACATTAAAAAAATAATAATAATGAAAAAAATACATATATATAAAAAGAAAGAACCTTTCTCAGGTTGGAGGTTTAGATTGATGGTAGAGCACTTGCCTAGAATGCACTCAGGCCCTGTGTGTAATCCTCAGCACTAAGAGAGAGCAGGACAAAGGAAGAGAGGGAGGGAGGGAAGAGAGAGAAAGAGAAAGCCAGAGTAAGAGAGAGAGAAATAGAGAGCCTGTCCCTTGCTAAGGATGACCACTTCATTCAATGACCATGACCACTGTGCCAGTTAGCAACTTGGTCAGTAGATTGGAACCATTTCACAGCTGTCACTATATGGCAGTGTTTTATAAGGCTCAATGGAGAGTTGTATATGAAGTCAACACAAAATAGTTTCTAGCTGATAGTTAATGTTATGCTAAGCTTAGGTTTTGAATCTTGGAGTTCCTCTTCTGGGTTCCTGGCCCAGAGGTTGCCTGCTTCCACCACTAGAGGGTCCTGGGGTAATTCTAAGCCCCAACAGCAGAGGAAGGAAGATCTGTGCCCTCCAATCTAATGGAGTCCCTTGGGATGTTTTCCCAAAACTAAGGAATCATCTGCCTTTAACTATGAAAGTCACTTCCACTTATGAGACAGAGAACAGTTTTTAGCTTTTTTTTAGATTTAGAATTACTTATGTTTATAGAGAAATAAAAGTATGTAGGTAAATCATATAGCCTAACCTCTTCTAAAACAAGGGAAGTTTATCTTGCTACACCTAATCCACAGTGCTGTCATATATGAGCGCAGATCATAAGATTGACCTCAAAGAGCTCCACTCGTTCTTTTTTTCTTTTCCATTTTACGAAGTTTTGCTAAACAAACAAGTAGCATTTTATGGAAAGGAAAGCAATGGTTGCCACACTGGCCAGAAGGAATCCAATCACATCCAGAGAATGATACTGGTACCTGGGGAGGTTGTGTACAAGTGACCTCACCTGCTTGGCCCCTTTGTGGCACATGACAAACCCAATCCAGAAGACAGCTCTATCCAGGGGCTTCATAGGCTGGTCGTGTTGAATGGTTGATAGCCACATCACATTCTCTTTATAGATCTCTGTGTCACAGTCCATCATTGAGGGAAGTCAGAGCAGGAACCTGAAGGTAGAAACTGAAGCTTAGACCACAGTAGAATACTACTTACTGGCTTCCAGTTTGCAGCATGTTAACACTTTTTACCTTCTTCCTCAAAAGATTCATGAGACCACATTCAGGCCAGGCAACTTGTTATATATTTTATTCCATAAATATGAGCTAGCTCCTGAAACAACAAATTGTGATAGTTTTCCTTTTACTAGTTACTGTGACAACGACTGATTGTTGAGTCTAGCTCAGTGGTTGTCCGGTTTTCAACAGCCATTAAGTTTACTCAATGAGTCCTTTGTAAACATCAGTGGGTGTCTGTCTCTTTCAGCACAAGTGTTACATTGTGGCCACAGTTGACCGTGACCTTAAAAGAAGAATCCGGAAGATCCCTGGAGTTCCTATCATGTACATTTCTAACCATAGGTGAGAGATTGCTATCGGGAAAAGTGATTAGAGGTAAATAGTTGGTCATCAGTTAAAATGAGAGCAGGTTATAAAGTTATAAAAGGATTTTCAAAGTAATTATCAAATATTCAAGTTTAGATTTGAAGAAGGGAGATAAAATAACAAGAATAAGGGAAGAAGATAAAGATAGATTTAGGAATGAGGCAAACAGCAAATTGTTACAATATGATCACTAGAAGAAGCACCTGTGTTACTTCATACAAAGCATTTTAAGTCAAGCTTGTCTTTTTGGACAGAAATATCCTTTTTGAAAGATATTTTGGGGGCTTAACCTCCAGCATGGAATAAAGCCCAGCCTGGTGAGGAACACCTGTAATCCCAACACTGGGGCGGTAGAAACAAGAAAATCAGAAGTTCAAGGTCATTTTCAAATACATAGTGAGTTTGAGGCCAGCCTAGACTACGAGAGACCCTGGCTCAGACAGAAGTGGTGGGGCCTGGGGGACAGGGTGTAGTCTCTGATTAGCTTTTAGAAAAACAAAAGCTGTTCTTTATTCTTCTTGGATGTTTCCATGTCACCCTATTGCCCAGCTTTTCCTTTTGGGGAAAGCACAGTGTGTTGATAATTACATAGGCTTCCTGGACTCTGATGCCCTTGCTAATATTTTGATTTAAAGGATAAAGTAATGCAGGGAGCATTTTGCTGGAGGTCATGCATTATGGGGTTCCTCTAAAAGGTTCCACTGACAAAAAGGATTGAGAGCAAGAGTGTTGGGCTCAGTAAAAGGGAGGGTTTCGGGTGGGTCCTGTACTGTATCATTTCTTAAAATTGTTCATTTTCTCTCCTGATCAGATACAACATTGAGCGGATGCCAGATGATTATGGAGCCCCTCGGTTCTGATTCTTAAAAGACTACACTCTCCTGCATTCCTTTGAACACCTTCTCTATTACTAGTTCATTAAACACTCATTTTTTGATGCTTTTTCAAATTGATATTTTGTTTCGTTTTTAAAAAAGACCAAAAAAATATTGCTGCATCTTTTTATAAAGCAGATGTTCTAATGGTTGCTCATATCATTTGATTTACTTAGCAGATCTTTACAAGTTTATACTAGGTACTTTGTAAGATGTGGTCCTGCCCTCAAGACATTTCATATTACAGTAGAAAAGAACAATGTGAATATAAGTAAATACAGTCAAACAGAAGTGGTAGGATAAAAATATCGAGGCAAGCCGTGGACTGCTTTAAAACAAAAAAAGAAAAGAAAGTAGTTTCTTTTTACTTTACTGGGTTAAGGAGAGACAAAAGGATATTTGAGTAAATTAGTTTGGTTTGGTTTGACTTTGCTGTTTTTGAGACTGTCTTATATATGCCAGACTGGCATGGAATTCTCTATGTAGCTGAAGATGGCCTTGACCTCTGGATCTTCCTGCCTCCACCTCTTTAGTGAAGGCATGCACCACCACACCCAGTTCATGTGGTACTGGGAATCAAATGCAGTGCTTCTTGTACTTGGCCAGCACTCTTGACAACCCACCTACACGCTCAGCTTCTGTGTGAGTAGATCACTAAAACAGAAAACCGACAGAATGGGACAGGTGCCCACATCTGAGACCCCAAAGGTAAGAGGTGAAAGGGAAGGGGTTTTATATGGCATGCCAGGGCTGTGACTTGATTATAAGGTCTATAAGGTACTAAAGTTTTAAACAAGGTGGGTAACATCATCAGAGTACTTTGTCTTTTTTTTTTTAAGTGTATTTTTTTAATATGAGAATAGACAAAAGTTCCCAGGTATAGTGATATATAACTGTGATTCCAGCATTTGGGAAGCTGAGGCTGAAGATTGTGAGTTCAAGGCTATCCTAGGCCACATATTAAGACCCTGTGTCAAAAAAAACAATACATTGGAAAAACCACCTGGGATTTAGTTTAGCCAAACCTATTCATAACTGATACACGTTCTATTGGTTCTTTTCTTCTAGAGAACTCTAATTTTATATATAAGTATATGCATACATATATAATCTTTTTTTTTTTTTTCGTCTTTTTGAAACAGGGTCTCCCTGTAGCCCCAGCTGGCAGAGATCCACCTGCCTCTGCCTCCCAAGTGCTGCTACAGGCCTACACCACCATGCCCGGCTCATATATAATCTTTTTGAGACAGGGTCTCACTAAGTAGCATACACTGATGTCAAACTCAAGATCTTACTGCCTCTGCCTCCCAAGTACTGGGTGTGTAACACTACACTCAGCCTGAATATTTTTAGTGCTAGGAAACAAATTCAGGGCTTTGCCGTGCTAGGTAAGTACACACCACTGAGTAGCATCCCAACCATCTAGCTGGGGATATTTATTCTACAAAGAGTGCAAGTAAGCCCCTAGCCAATCAGAATATGAATTCAAGCAACCCACCAATGAGATGTCATTCCCCTTAGACAACACTGACCAGTACAGGGGAAGGTCCTAATCTGCTGTGGCCTGGCTGGCCAGTCCTCAGGGAATATTTCCGTAAATTCAGCCAGCCATACTGGGAGTGAGGCAGGACAGGAAAGTCTTTGATTCTTTGAGTTCCCCAAGATGCAAGAGTCTATAGACAGGTTCAAAAATAGTAAGAAAAGCCAGGCACGATGGTGCACGCCTTTAGTCCCAGCACTCAGGATGCAGAAGCAGGCAGATCTCTGTGAATTCAAGGCCATCCTGGTCTACACAGTGAGTTCCAGGCCAGCTGGGGCTACAGGAAGACCCTGTCTCAAAAAGCTCCCCCCCAAAAAGGAAGAAAAGTGGTTCTGTGTTATAAACATGATACAGAGAAGACTCATGGTAGTCAAAGTTGATACCAGTGACCTCTGGAATCTACATGAAACCTTATGATTTTGGTCATTCATGTTAGTTCATTTTGAAATTTTTCTGTTTGCATTCTAGATTAGTGAAACTACTGTGTAAAAATAGGCCTGGTTAGTTTTATAATATGAATTCAGTATTCCTTAAATGCCATTAGGAGACTATTATACAAACAATAAAGTGGGGTTTTTTTTGTTGTCTTAAGTTTTTTGTTGTTGCTTTTTTTTTTTTAACCAGATACAGTGGTGCTGCCCTGTAATTCCAGCTACTTGGGAGACTGACAGGAGGATGGCAAGTTTGAGCCTGTTTGAGATTTATAGAGAGACCAGCCTGGACAATTTTTGGAGACCCTGGTGGTACATGCCTTTAATCCCAGCATTTGGGAGGATGGATCTCTGTGAGATCAAGGCTAGCCTGATCTACATAGTGAGTTCCAGGCTAGCAGGGGCTACAGGGAGACCCTGTCTTAAAAAATAAATAAATAGAGCTGGGCATGGTGGCACAGGAGGCAGAGGCAGGTGGATCTCTGTGAACTCGACACCAGCCTGGTCTACATAGTAAGTTCCAGGCCAGCTGGGGCTACTGGGAGACCCTGTCTCAAAAAAAAACCAAATAAATAAATAGGGGCTGGAGAGATGGCTCAGCAGTTAAGAGCTGACTGCTGTTACAGAGGATCCAGGTTCAATTCCCAGTACCTATATGGCAACTAACAACCATTTGTAACTCCAGTTCCAGGGGATCCGATGCTCTTTTCTGCCCTGCCCTCCCCAGACATTATAGGCACAGGTACACACACCTACCTATATGCAGGCAATACACTCATACACGTAAAATATAAATAATTAAATTAACTAGTTAAAAGGGGTTGTGGATGTGGTGTGCTCACCTAGTATATGCAAGGCCCTCAATTCAATCCATTGTATTATGGAGTCAAACAAAATAACATCAAAACAAAACAAAAACCAAAAAACTTATTTTTGTTTGTTGCTTGTTGGTTTTTTAAAAAATTTATGTGTATAAGTGTTATGCCTACATGTATGTAAGTGCACCCATGTTATGCAGTGCCCAAGTAGACTAGAAGAGGGCGTCAGATCCCCTGGAACTGGAGTTACAGATGGTTGTTAGCCACCATGTGGATGCTGGGATTCAAACTCCAGTCTTTGTCAAAAGCAGCCAGTGCTCTTAATTGTTGAGCCATCTTTCCAGTCTCATGTGTGTTTGCTTTTTTGAGATAAGGTCTAATGTATCCCAAGCTGATCTCAAACTTACTATGTAGCTAGGGATGACCTTGAATTCTTTCTGATCCTTCTGCCTCCACCTTCAAAGTGCCAGGATTACAGTTGTGTTCCACAATGCCTGGCTTTAATGAGGCTTTAAGATTTTTTTTTTTTTGAAGATAAGGGTTCTGTATATTGAAAGTAGCTCTGATTTTTTCTGTTTCTTGTTTTCTTCATCATTTTATAGTTGTGAGTTTTGAAGAGTAGTTGTGTAGGCTACAAGCTTTGAGTGGCCTACTGTAGTATAATTCCCTGAGACCTAGAATCTAGGGAATAAGATCACATACTATCTATTGCAATGCCTTAGTTTGCCTTGAAACAATGAGAAGAATGTGAAAGGGCCTGTTTAAACAGTAGTTCCAGGGGGCAGTGAGATGACTAGTGGCCTGAGTTCAATCCTGGAACCCACTTAAAATGGGAAGTGAGGAACTGACTCCCTCAAGTTGTCCCCTGATCTCCACACATGCCATGGCATGCATGTACCCACATACATACAGACACATTCTCTCCTCTCCTCTCTCCTCTCCCCCCCCACACACAATGTAATACAAAAATTTAAGCAGTGGTACTGTTACCAGGTAGGTCTGAAAGGCCTTCTGTGTTGTAGGAAGTTCTGGACAGCTGGAATGTACAGGGCAAGGAAGGAAATGGAAAGATAAACTTTTCCACCTTCCATCATCTAATCTTATGTTTGTTTTCCACTATCATCACTTTTCTTTTCAGCTTTGATTTTTTTTTTTTATTGTGAAAGACAATATACAAACAAGGAGAAGGCACAGAGCACTAATGTACAGCTCCATAAATTCCAACAAAGAAATATTTGTGATTACCACTTGGTACAAAAACTAGAATAAGTCAACATCGCAAAAACTCAGGTCATGCCCCCTAGTAGTCTCTAGTCTTTTCCTTCTCTGGAAAGGCAACTAAATACCATGTTCACTTCTCTTTTTTTTTTTTTTTTAATATTTTATTATTTTCATTTTATGTGTATGAGTGCACCTGTGTTGTGCAATGCCACAGAGGTCAGAAGAGGGTTTCGGATTCCCCTGGAACTGGAGTTAAAGATGGTTTGTAGCTGCCATGTGGGTGCTGGGAATTGAACCCAGGTCCTCTGCAAGAGGAGTCAGTGCTCTTAACCGCTGAGCCATCTCTCCAGCCCCCACTTTCACTTCTAACATTGCAATTTTTATTTTTGAGACAGCAGCTCATGTGTCCCAATCTGCCCTCAAACTTGCTACATAGCCAAGGATGACCTTGAATTCTTGATCCTCCTGTCTCTACCTTCCCCAAGCTGGGATGTACCACCATGCCCAGTTTTATGTAGTGCCAGAGATCAAATGGCTTCATTCTAGGCATGCTAGACAATCACTCTATTAATTGAGCCACATCCTCAACTCCTAACATTGTAATTTCATCTTGTCTATTTTTGAAATATATATATATATATATATATATAAAATCAATAGCAAAATGAGCATCTGTTTGAACTGCCATCATTTAACACTTATGTGGTGATATATTTATTGACTAATACTGCATTAGTTACCATCTCCATTGCTATGATAGAATAACTGACAAGCGCACCTAACAGTGTGGGGGGTTCGAGCCAGCAACCACCGTGCAGTGATGATTGGTGATGAGTAAGCACACCGTTCGCCAGCCCACGCCACCCCCAGTACCAGGGACAATCAGACGCAACAGGGAGCCTAGTCAAGCAGGGACTCATTTATTGCAGGTGTTACAGAGCTTATAAAGGCACCTGGAAATCCCCCCCCCGCCCCCGCCGCCGAGGGTGTATCTTAAGGATGGTCACGTGCTGATCATGCACTCCTTAGCAGTGGGGAAGTATCCTTCAGACTTTTAAAACAAGTCAG